GGCCAAAAGAGCCCCATTCAGTAACAAGTGCTAATAATGCTGAGAGCAGATTATGTTCATTAAGCATAAATATGTGCTCATTTACTTTACAAACACTTTATATTTATTCATTTCATCCTTGTAATAATGGCCATATTCATTTAGACATTAAGAACTACCTAACATCTGAAATGATAGAGAATAAAACAAATAGCACTTGAAGAGAAATCATAGAAATGGAAGTATCAGGACAGCAGAATTGATAGATAACAAAGATGCTTGGCAAAGCAATTTGGTTTATAATAAAGAGGCGACAACCTCCATCAATCTGGAAAGGAAGAATTAATTCATTATTTGCTATTCATGATAAACAGTACTGGTTTCCTACTTTAGAAAAGGTGGAATTCAATGGTCAATAAATAAGACTGAGGGGCTGGGGATTTAGCTCAGCGGCAAAGCGCCTGCCTGGCAACTGCAAGGTTGTGTGTTCAGTTCCCGGTACCGGAGAAAACCCCCCAAAAAAAAAATTAGTAAATAAATAAATAAATAAATAAATAAAAGACTGATTTGGTCCTAGGAGATTGGAGCAATTACTTCACTGTTTTAGAGATAGATATACTCAGGTACGTAGACTTCAGTAACATTATCCAAGGTCATGCAGCTTTTATGTATCCTAATAGCCATGTCAAACTTGATGTATCCACACCTGAGTTCCTAATCTTTCCTCCAAAACCATGCCAACTTACTTCAAGTCTCATAGTCACCTTTAACTATTTTTACTCACTCTGTATGTGCAGAGCTTGGAAAATTCTGGTGGATCTACCTACAGACTGGATCCTTAGTTTGCCTTCACTAAATTTATGGAGCACAAGTTTCATACTTTGTTTAAGTAGCCTCCTGTCGATTCTTCTCACTTCCTTAGTCTGTCCACACTGTAATACCCAGAGTGATTCTTTGTAACGTATGTCACATGAGGTTACTCCCCTACCTCCACTGTACTCTCCTAGATAATTCCATGAGCAGCTCCCCAGCTTCTAGGTCTACTCAAGGGTATCCAGATGAATGAAAACTGCCCTGAAAACTTGTGAGAATAGCAACTCATTGTCACCATGTGCCCCCACCAGAACTTTTAATATCTGTGCCCTCTTCCTTCAGTCACTCTCTAATATTGCAGAGAATTTACTCTAATATAGTTGTTATTATGTATTTGTTTCCCCTAAAGTATAAACGCTGTAAGGATAGTAACAACTGTTTTGGTCACAGATGTTACTAAACACTTAGCACAGTGTCT